GCGACTGGGATGGGACTGGGATGGGATGGGGAAGGGTAGGATGGGATGGGATGGGATGGGAAAGGACAGAAAGGGATGGGATGGATGGGACAGTATGGATGGGATGGGAAGGGACAGGATGGGATGGATGGGAAGGGACAGAAGGGGATGGATGGGAAGGGACAGTATGGATGGGATGGGACGGGATGGGATGGGATGGATGGGAAGGGACAGGATGGGATGGATGGGAAAGGACAGCAGGGGATGGGGCAGGAGGAGGTTTTTCTGGGGTTCTGCCAGGATGCCCAGGGCGCTGGGGGCCTGTGGGGTCTGCCAGGACGTGCAGAGGGCAGAGGGTGGTCTATGGGGTCAACCAGAGGACGTGGGGTCAATGGGATCTGTCAGCACGGCCGGGGGACGGGGTCTGTGGGGTCTATGGGGCTTGTAGGGGTCTGTGGGGTCTGCCAGAGTGACCAGAGCAAGGGGGGGTCTATGGGTTTATCAGGACACCCGGGGGGTGGGGTCAACCAGGATGGCCAGGGGGTGTCACATCCAAATGGTCTCTGGGGGCTGGCAGGACACCCAGGGCACAGCGTGGTACGGGGTCTGCTGGGATGTGGGGGGCTCTGGGGGCTGCCAGGACGGTGTGGGGCCACCCCACAACCAGGCACCCAGCAGGATCCCGGCCCCATAACCCCTCCAGCTCCTGGAGCTGGTAGCACCACACCATTCCTTTGTGTGGCTGGGGGGGTGCAGTGGGTCCCCTCCCCACGGCCGGGACTGAGCGAGGAGTGAGCGTGCACCCCCAAAAAGGGGTCACAGGGCTGGGGCTGAGCAAGATTTCACCCCTGGGCCACCGGAATCCCGACTCCGGCCTCTCCCAGGGGGGGGAAGGAGGGATGGGGAGCTGGGGGGGGGCCCTGGATTTCCCCATCCCTTCCATCCCGCTCGGCAGCTCCCGCAGGATCCGGCACAGGCTGTTCCCCGCAGGTGAGCCAACAGATGTGAGCAATTATTGTCCAATTCGGAGCCTCCTGCTCGGCCCTGCCAACTTTTTGGGCTCGGCAGCGAGGGAACAACCGCAGCATTGTTCCTCCTTTATATAACGCCCCCCCCCCTCCATGAGCCCCCGGGGATGGAGGCGGGGGGGGACACACACACACACTGCCAGGGGCCGTGCCTGGCATGAAACGCAGCCCCCACCCCACGGGGATGGGTCCCAAATCTGCCACCCCTGCACGTCCCCAGCTCTGAACCACTGGCTGTGCCCACCCCCCAGCCCCACAAGCCCCCAACCTGCTCCTTGAGCATCCCCCCCGGGGAAGTGACAGGGTCCCAAGGGTGGGGGGGATGTCCCCCTCCTCACTGCCACCTCCCCCCGACACACACCCCCCCACAGCAAGGCGGAGGCAGAGGCCATGGAGAAGGAGCTGCTGGAGGATTATCGGTTCGGGCGGCAGCAGCTGATCGAGATCTGGGGACACGCCTGTGCCGTGGCCATCACCAAGGTGAGGTGGGGCTGGGGACACCCCCTCGGGGCTGGGGACACCCCACCAGCTGCTCTCCCACCCTGTATCCTCCCCCACCCCCCCGCTGTGGCTTTTCCCACCCCAGGTTGGGGTCACCCTCCTTCCCCAGACCAAGGTGTGGGGACAGGGGACAGGGGACAGCCAGGGCTGGTGGCCAGGGCCAGCGATGCTCTGGCCATGCCAGGGCTGCAGCCCCTCCCTGGGTGGGGGCAGTTTGTGTTCCTCAGCCACCCATCATTATTTCCCTTGGGGTGAAGGGACCCCCCCTGGTTTACACCCCCCCAAACGGGAGGGGGATGCTCAGCCCTTCCCTGGGGCATCGAGGGCACCAGCTGCCCTTGCCCTGTGCGGGGAAGGGGGTGCTGGGGGGGTTCCCCGTGGTTTGGCAACGCTCTCCTGTGACTGGGAGCCCCGAGTGCTGGTTCTGGATGCGAGGAGGAGGAGGAAGAGGAGGAGGAGGAGGCAGCGTGGGCGAGAGGTGCAGCATCAAGGGCAGCTTTGTGCCTCGGAGGCTGGTGAGCTCCGCGCCCGCCTGGCTCAGCTTTTCCGTCGGAGGTGTCTGCACCACGCTCTGCCCCCCCTCCCTTCTCCGAGGGCGCGGGACCTGCCCGAGGAAGGGAAATATTTGGGTGTTGGAGCCTCTCTCCATCCCAGGGATCACCCTGGGCCCACGGCGTGGGGCTGCCCACCCCTCCAGGGACCCCCATGTGGCAGCATCCCCACCTCCAGCCCCAGCTTTGGGAGAAAGGGGCTGAGCATCCTCCTCATCGCTCGGCAGCTCCCGCAGGATCCGGCACAGGCTGTTCCCCGCAGGTGAGCCAACAGATGTGAGCAATTATTGTCCAATTCGGAGCCTCCTGCTCGGCCCTGCCAACTTTTTGGGCTCGGCCACCTCCAGCCCCAGCTTTGGGAGAAAGGGGCTGAGCATCCTCCTCATGGGGCTGAGCATCCTCCTCTTCCTCACGGGGCCGAGCATCCTCCTCTTCCTCACGGGCCTGAGCCCTGGGGAGCACCCATGGACCCCGGTTTTGGTGTGTCCCCCACCCCCCCAGCATCATCCCCACCTCCAGCCCCAGCTGGGGGAGAGTGGGGCTGAGCATCCTCCTCGTGGGGCTGAGCATCCTCCTCTTCCTCACGGGGCTGAGCCCTGGGGAGCATCCACAGACCCCAGCTTTGGTGTCCCCCCACCCCCCAGCATCATCCCCTCCCGGCACGTCCCCGGCAGCCCCACGGCAGCGTGGCCAGCTCTGGGGCAGGGCCAGGGCCAGGAGAGCGTGGCTTTGTCCAGCCCAGGGTGGCTGGGAGCCGGCCGTGCCGCTCGGGGCTCTGGCGCTGGGACGGGACCGGGAGCCAGGCTCCGGGAGCAGGAAAAAAATCCGTCAACGGATAAACAAGAGCCTCCCTTTGCCGGCTGCTGGTATGTGGAGCGCGCGGCCGCCTCCCTGCAGGCTGGCGGGGAGCCCCGTCCCCGTCCTGGGCATCGTCCCCGTCCTGGGCATCGTCCCCATCCCACCCAGGGCACCACCCGCATCCCACCATGGGCATCATCTTCATCCCTCTATGAGCCCTGTCCTGCCCTGGGCACCATCCTGTTGTGGGTACCATCCCCATCCCTCTGTAGGTACCATCCCCACCCCATCACAAGCCCTGTCCTGCTGTGGGTGCCATCCCCATCCCACCATGGGTATCATCCCTGTCCCACCATGGGTATCATCCTTGTCCCACCACAGGTATCATCCCCATCCCGCTGTGGGCACCACCTGCATCCTGTCTTTGGTGTCATCCTCATCCCACTACGAACCTTGTCCTGCCCTGGGTGCCATCCAAGTCCTGCTGTGGGTACCATCCCTCTGTGGGCATCATCCCCATCCTATCATGAGCCCTTTCCTGCCATGGGTGCTGTCCCCATCCCACCATGGGTATCATTCCTATCCCATCATGGGTATCATCCCCATCCCGCTGTGGGCACCACCTGCATCCTGCCTTCGGTGTCATCCTCATCCCACTACGAGCCCTCTCCTGCCCTGGGTGCCACCCCCACCCCTCTGCGGGCATCATTCCCATCTCATCACATGCCCTGTCCTGCCAGGGGTGCCGTCCCCATCCTGCTGTGGGTGCTGTCCCCCTGTCCCATCTTGGATATCATCACCATCCTGCCATGGGCATCATCCTCATCCCACTGGGGGCACCATCTTCATCTCACTGTGGGCATCACCCCATCCCATCACATGCCCTGTCCTGCCCTGGGTGCCATCCTCATCCCACTGTGGGTGCCATCCCCATCCCACCATGGGTATCATCCTTGTCCCACCACAGGTATCATCCCCATCCCGCTGTGGGCACCACCTGCATCCTGTCTTTGGTGTCATCCTCATCCCACTGTGGGTGCCATCCCCATCCCACCATGGGTATCATCCCTGTCCCACCATGGGTATCATCCTTGTCCCACCACAGGTATCATCCCCATCCCTCTGTGGGCATCATCCCCATCCTATCATGAGCCCTTTCCTGCCATGGGTGCTGTCCCCATCCCACCATGGGTATCATTCCTATCCCATCATGTAGGTACCATCCCCACCCCATCACAAGCCCTGTCCTGCTGTGGGTGCCATCCCCATCCCACCATGGGTATCATCCCTGTCCCACCATGGGTATCATCCTTGTCCCACCACAGGTATCATCCCCATCCCGCTGTGGGCACCACCTGCATCCTGTCTTTGGTGTCATCCTCATCCCACTACGAACCTTGTCCTGCCCTGGGTGCCATCCAAGTCCTGTTCTAGGTACCATCCCTCTGTGGGCATCATCCCCATCCCATCATCAGCCCTTTCCTGCCATGGGTGCCGTCCCCATCCTGCTGTGGGTGCTGTCCCCCTGTCCCACCTTGTATATCATCACCATCCTGCCATGGGCGCTGTCGGCATCCCTCTGTGGGTACCATCCCCATCCCATCACAAGCCCTATCCTGCTGTGGGTGCCATCCCCATCCCACCATGGGTATCATCCCTATCCCACCATGGGCATCATCCTCATCCCAATAGGGGCACCATCTTCATCTCTCTGTGGGCATCACCCCATCCCATCACATGCACTGGGTGCCATCCCCATCCCACTGTGGGTGCCATCCCCATCCCACCTTGGGTCTCATGCCCATCCCACCAGCAGCACGTCCCCATCACAGCTCCATCTGCCCTCAAGCCCTGGTCCCCCTCGGTCCCCGGCGCCGGGTGCCACCCCCAGGGCTGACCCGGGGGGACGGGGCTCGGTGCCGGTGCCATGTCCCCATCCCCTCTCTCCAGGCCTTCCCGCTGCCGTCGCTGCCCCGGAAGCAGCCCACGGTGCTGGTGGTGTGTGGCCCAGCACAGAACGGGGCCATCGGGCTGGTGTGCGCCCGGCACCTGCGCATCTTTGTAGGTATCTCCCTCCTCCTCCTCCTCTTCCTCCTCTTCATCCCGGAGCGATGCCAGGCTCCAACGCCGCATCCCCCCACCCTTCTCCACCACGCAGGACTACGAGCCCACCATCTTCTACCCCAAACGCTCCCCGGACCCCCTCTACAGGGATTTCACGACGCAGTGTGAGAAGATGGACATCCCCTTCCTCTCCT